TGAAGGAGATGGACAATAAATAAGTAAAAATAAGTTCATTATTTCAGATAGCGATATGTGGTAGGAAAAAAAATCAGAGATGCTATAGGGAGTCAAGAAGGAGCCCTTTGGTTTGGGTGGTCAGAGGCCTCTGAAGAGCTGTCAACATGCTAGGACCTTGATGGCCAGGGGTAAAAAGCAGGCAAGGATCTGGAGAAGAAAAAATCACAGCAGGATTGATGTTTAGAAAGGAGACCAGGGTGCCTGATAAGCAGTATAGTGGTTAAGGCAGCTAAATCCCACATGGCTGACAGCACAGTTCAAGCCCCAGACCTAGCAGATTAAACATGTCCGACATGTGTGCATGCATGCCTAAAATCTGACTCGAGAATGGAGAAGGGATTGCAGCATGGCCATTTCCCCTGAGAGTTGGTTTCTCACTTTCCCCCTCTCTGTCTCTGGAGTGCACACACACTATAGCAAATTTTAAAAGAAAGAAAGAAGTCTAGAGGGCTCTGGAGAATAACAGGCAAGGAGAGGAAGGTCAGAAAGGGAAGCAGGGCCAGATCATGTGAGGCCTTGGAGGCCAAGGGCAAGAGTTTGGATTTCATGCTTTAAGTAAGAGAGAGGCATCATTGAGTTTCTGCTGTAAAAAGATCACTCTGACAGCTGTGTCAAGAACTGGCTGTAGGAGGTGAGAGTGGAAGGAAGTAGTTCTGATAAGAGCCTGTGTCTGAAATCCAAGGAAGAAATGATGGTACCTCAGGGCTGGCAGGTGGCATGCTGGTTAAGGGCCCTGGACTCCCACATGGCCGACTATGGTTCAAGTCCCAGACCTGGTGGCTTGCTTTCTCACTTTCCCTCTCTCTCTCTCTCGCTCTGTTCTTCTCTGGTCAAATTAAGATAAATAAATAAAGTTAAATAAAATAGTTCTTTAAAAAAAATGATACTGCCTCAGTCTAGGGAGATAGCAGAAGAGATGGATGTGCACTAGTATAGGCTGGGGGGAAGGGGGTGTTCTCTAGCCATCTCTTTATACCCTTCAACAGCCATTCTGAACTCTGGATATTTTATCCATTGTTTTCCCATTGTGCAATCTGAGAGCAGTCTCCAAGGAATGAGCAATCGGTCTCCTTGGGCTCTAAATGCCACCACCTCAGCCTGGAGCCACTCTTCCTGGAATATCAGATTTTTTTTTTTCTTTCTTTTTTTTTTTTTTGCCTAATGACATGTGTGCTTGCCAAGAGAGAGCAGGAGGTTGAGTACCACCCATGGGGGAATGATCATTCCACAATCCCTTCTCCATTTCTCCCTCCTTTCAGGATTTTGGTCACACACGCACACGTGCCTAGTATGTTTTTCCAGCCACCAGATCTGGAACTTGAACTATGCAGTCGACCATATAGGATCCAGCTGCCTTAGTGATTAGGCCACTTGCTGGTCCTCAGGAA